TTTTTAAGTGATTCCAGTCATATTTCAAGCAATTCAATGTTGAACAGTGTGCATCTGAAGTGTCTCAGCTGAAGGAAATAACACATTATTTATCGGTTTTAATATATCAGACACATTTTCGAATCAGGCCGATAACTATAACATTTAAAATGAGCATATATCGCCCGATACCGATATGGTGGCCAATATATCGTGCATCCCTAATTTATGCATTTTGAATCACATATTAAAAATTTCATCCATTTGGATTACACAGACAAATATGCATCACATTAAATTTATTAGTTTGTTTATGCTAAAACTGTGCAATCCAAATGTATAATTCCTAAATCCAGGCCTAATTATTTGCATTTATGTAACCATTGTTTACTGATTCCCACAAGCACAGACTGATGGAGTCCAGAACAACAGAGCGACTGCATGTCTATTCATCAGTAATCTGTAATTAAACTCTCATGGAATGAATTGAGCAGATTGAGCCGCACAGGAAACTGATTGGCTATTAATGACACACATTATATCATCCGGCGGCGACCGCTGAGAAACGTTTCAAAGCATCATTTAGATGTGATCTGGAGGGGTGTGCGTCTCTCAATCTAAAATAAATCCCACATGAGTGTGTCTGAATCCATCACAGTGAAGAGCGATCAGAAGATTGGGTCCAAATGATGGGAGTTTGATCTCGAGTACTGATTATATTCATGCATATTTTATTGGATCATTTCAAAGAGTTCATACTGACAGTTCAGAAATGAGTTTACAGCTCTGAAAATAACTTCACTTTTTGATTCTGATCTACTCCTGAATCAACCAATGGGGTGAGAGTGGGGCGGGGCTATCAGACTGACTGACCAATGACAGATGGGGGCGTGTTCAGGAAACATGATTGAAAACAGTCATTGTTGAAATTAAATTAAATGAAGCACCACGATATATCGGCCACCATATCGGTATCGGCCGATATATGTTCATTTTTATTGATATCGTAATCGGTCTGATAAGAAAATTTGGCTGATATTTTAAAACCGATAAATTAGAGATGCACCGATTGCAATTTTCTTGGCAGATAAAGCTTTTTTTTTTGTAAGTGTGACCTGCCGATACCGATTTTTGCCGATAACCAATGGAGTGAGAGTGGGGCGGGGCTACCAGACTGACTGACCAATGACAGATGGGGGCGTGTTCAGGAAACATGATTGAAAACAGTCATTGTTGGTGCAGAAATGAAGCACCACGATATATCGGCCACCATATCGGTATCGGCCGATATATGTTCATTAGGGGCCAAGCCCCGAAGGGGATAGCCCCTATTGTATCTGTTAGTTTTCTTATTATTATTCTTCTTCTTCCGCAAATGGAAGTCTATGGCAGCCCTATGAACCGTACATAGGAAAATGATGAAATTTGGCACACTTGTAGTGATGCTAATGAAAAGTAATTGTAGCAAGTTTTGAGTCTCTAGGACCAACTCTATAGCGCCACCACCAGTTCAAAAATTCAACATTGAAATGGTTATAACTTTTGTAGCCTTTGATCTAGAGACATGAAACTTAGTACACCTGATTCCACTCATCATGTTGATTACAACCAATACCTTACATTAAGACCCCTGCCCATTACAGTAGTGGCCATTTTGAAAAGTACAGTAATCAGTTTTTTCCCTACTCCTCCTTCAAATTTTGTCCAATTTTGTCCAAACATGTGCTCAAATGATCTTCAGACTGAGCCGCATAGAAATGACTGAACAGAATTTTTTGCTATACTGAAAAAAAAAAAGTTATGATGTCGCAAACTTAACGAGGTCGACCCAAAATTGGTTCAGAAGCTATAGCTCGGCCAAACTTTCATCAATCAGAACGAATATTGGTACGCTTCATCGGAAGCATGGTCTGAGGGTGCATGCCAAAGTTGGGAACAGCGCCACCTATGGGTCATGAGATATGAAAAATAGCTATTTTGGCCAATAACTTTTGAACAGTTTGTCAGAAAATCATAAATGTGGTATCTATGGATTCCTTGTTTCATGTCGATTATTTGGATATCAATTTTGCCAGGATTGGATGTACCACGTGTCCGCCATTTTGAATTTTGTCATAATTTGCCATATCTTTTAAAATATTTGACAAATCTTCACACAATTTAGTATGGATCATCATTTGCATGGCCTGAAGGTACCTGAGAATTTTGAACACAGCGCCACCTAGTGTTCCAAAGGTATAAGGTTTTTTGCAAATATGCTTATAACTTTTGCAAATATAGTTCAAATTTTGATTTCTTTATGTCAATATATTCCTTGGCTTATACCGATTCCAACGATATTTCGTTTGTCATTTTCCAACAATGTGACTGCCAGCGATATTGGGGCAAATGAAAAATAGTTTTTTCGCTACTCCTCCTTCAAATTCTGCTCAATTTTGTCCAGAATTTTATCAGATGGTCTTTGGACCAAGCCGCACAGAAATGACTGAACAGATTTTTGATTTTTGCTACCGTTCCAGAGATATTCGTCTCTAAAGTTGACCTAGCCTGTGTTTGTTGCCTTATGCTAGTTAGCTTAGCATAATAATTGGTTAGCATGCTAACCAGATGTCATTCTTTCTAATGCGTCTCTTCAGCTATCAGGATAACCATAAGCTACATTAGCATTAGGCTAGCTTAGCATGCTAATCTGGTTAACCTGCTTTTGTGTGCTCATTCTTACACTGAAGGATCTCCTCTGCAGCTTGTGATTGTATGTCCTCTGAGTGGCACAGTCTGCTAAACAATGTGTTACTAATCCTGAGCCGTTCCGGTTGTGGTTTCAAGCCCCATGTTATACAACTTTAAATCATTGTGTAATGTTATATAATTTGGAGCCAATTGCTGCAGTTTTACCTTTAACAACTCAAGTCTCCGTAAAATTTGAACAAACCACTGTTTATGACTACCATGCTGTGTAAAAAAAAGGTTATAGCTTTGAAGAAATTCTAATAATTTAATATGTAGCAACTGTTTAACAATGGGAATTTTGATTTGAACAATTGGTAAGTTGAATAAGTTTTCAAATTAAATCCAAATATGTCAAACATGGTCAAAAGGTGCTTGGCCCCGCAATCACTGCTTGCAGTTATTAGGGGCCAAGCACCGAAGGTGCAGAGGCACCTATTGTATCTGTTAGTTTTCTTATTAGGGGCCAAGCCCCGAAGGGGATAGCCCCTATTGTATCTGTTAGTTTTCTTATTAGGGGCCAAGCACCGAAGGTGCAGAGGCACCTATTGTATCTGTTAGTTTTCTTATTATTATTCTTCTTCTTCTTCCGCAAATGGAAGTCTATGGCAGCCCTATGAACCGTATATAGGAAAATGATGAAATTTGGCACACTTATAGTGATGATAATGAAAAGTAATTGTAGCAAGTTTTGAGTCTCTAGGACCAACTCTATAGCGCCACCACCAGTTCAAAAATTCAACATTGAAATGGTTATAACTTTTGTAGCCTTTGATCTAGAGACATGAAACTTAGTACACCTGATTCCACTCATCATGTTGATTACAACCAATACCTTACATTAAGACCCCTGCCCATTACAGTAGTGGCCATTTTGAAAAGTACAGTAATCAGTTTTTTCCCTACTCCTCCTTCAAATTTTGTCCAATTTTGTCCAAACATGTGCTCAAATGATCTTCGGACTGAGCCGCATAGAAATGACTGAACAGAATTTTTTGCTATACTGAAAAAAAAAAAAGTTATGATGTCGCAAACTTAACAAGGTCGACCCAAAATTGGTTCAGAAGCTATAGCTCGGCCAAAGTTTGATCAATCGAAACGAAAATTGGTACGCTTCATCGGAAGCATGGTCTGAGGGTGCATGCCAAAGTTGGGAACAGCGCCACCTATGGGTCATGAGATATGAAAAATAGCTATTTTGGCCAATAACTTTTGAACAGTTTGTCAGAAAATCATAAATGTGGTATCTATGGATTCCTTGTGTCATGTCGATTCTGGGGATATCAATTTTGCCAGGATTGGATGTACCACGTGTCCGCCATTTTGAATTTTGTCATAATTTGCCATATCTTTTAAAATATTTGACATATCTTCACAAAATTTAGTATGGATCATCATTTGCATAGCCTTAAGGTACCTGAGAAGTTTGAACACAGCGCCACCTAGTGTTCCAAAGGTATAAGGTTTTTTGAAAAAAAGCTTATAACTTTTGCAAATATAGTTCAAATTTTAATTTCTTTATGTCATTATATTCCTTGGCTTATACCGATTATAACGATATCTCGTTTGTCATTTTCCAACAATGTGACTGCCCGCGATATTGGGGCAAATGAAAAACAGTTTTTTCGCTACTCCTCCTTCAAATTTTGCTCAATTTTGTCCAGAATTTTATCAGATGGTCTTTGGACCAAGCCGCACAGAAATGACTGAACAGATTTTTGATTTTTGCTACCGTTCCCGAGATATTCGTCTCTAAAGTTGACCTAGCCTGTGTTTGTTGCCTTATGCTAGTTAGCTTAGCATAATAATTGGTTAGCATGCTAACCAAATGTCATTCTTTCTAATGCGTCTCTTCAGCTATCAGGATAACCATAAGCTACATTAGCATTATGCTAGCTTAGCATGCTAATCTGGTTAACCTGCTTTTGTGTGCTCATTCTTACACTGAAGGATCTCCT